CTGGAGTTGAAACCCTATTGAACATCTTTAGAAAGGCCTAAAAAATATGCCCTCCTGTTGCCACTGTCAATCCAACTGGATTGAACATTAGATTATCTGAAGAGCAAAATAATATATATATATATATATATATATATATATATATATATATATATATATATATATATATATATATATATATATATATATATATATATATATATATATATATATAACAAAAAAGTATCCTTAGCTCGAGGAGTCTCTCCCCAAGTAATTGATTTCTGTGCTGCACAACAAGTATTAAGCCTTCGGCGTGGATTCCATACTATACCTGTTAGGGTTGTAAAATGTAGATTTTGATATTAGGAATATAGAAAAAAAATCTCACTTTGTCTGTATGGTTCATTTTGTGTGCATGTTTCCAAAAAAATTGAAAAATACATTCAAAACTATTTTAGATAACGTCTTAAATGTATGCAAAGGGAAAAAAACTGCTTTCTGGTGGCGCTGGACATTATGGCCCAGAAAAACATGTTTAGCCTGACACACTCTGTGACACATTATGACACATAATGGATTAAGATGATGGCTAATCTTCTTCATAAGCACCTCTAATTAGAGGATAATGATTTCCTTTGTATGGCAGAGCGGAAGAAGGTCTTCCTTATAGAGCCAAAGGAAGTTCCACGTGGGTGCTGGCTCTCAGTGACTCTGCTGAGGTGCTTTCTAATATCCAGCAGACATGCTTGAATGTGGGGGAAATTTAAATCAGTTTTTAAGCAAAGTATGGTTGCAATCAAAATTAAAGTGCACCATATCAAAGTAAATCACAGGTTAGTTCTGTTTTCTTTCCTTTGGTTTATTTCAGACCTTCTGCCCGCTTTTGGTCCTGGAAATTGCTGGTATAGAGTAGATGAGGGACTCAGTGACTGCTTGATTGCCGAATCTAAAATAAGATCTACTTTGATTAAAGCAATTTGGATGTGGGAAGAACGCAAATGCTTTCTCAAAAGCCTGGTTCGCTGAGGTTGACTTCAACCTGTGATGCTAATGCAGGTTTTGGGGTTTGTTTCACATCAGAAAGAGTAGAGACTGAAGATGACGTCTTTCAGAACAATCATACTCTCCAATCAAGACTGTGGAAACTTTAAAGATCTTACTAGGGTTGAATTGACATTGTCAGTTCCGATGTATAAATAAGGTTATGTGGTTGGTTCTTACATTAAAAGTACAGTCAATACTTAACAGGAAACCCAGTCAGGAAATTATTACAATCAAAATATCTGTGCCTTTTCTATCTACATCCAGACCCTGAAATCTCAATTTCAAAATAAAAAGTGAAATACATGAATATTAGAAACTTTTTAAAATGTATGGTTCAATTGTCACCAGATGTTACAGTTTTAAACCCTGCCTTGGATGAATCTGTGAGAAAGCAGTCGAAACTCCAATTCTAGCTCCATCTCACACAATGCGAATTGCTTTGCACACTTGAAAGAGCTTTGATTCCCAAACATCTTGACATTTTGTAACTTTTCCTCATATTTTTATTTCCATTAAACTTTCCAAAAACATCCTTTTACTCATTGATGTCAGCAGTCAGCTTGTTCAGAAATAACCTGTTTGTTGAGGACCTAATGACTCTAATAACAACCCTACAGTAGCAGTCATCCAGGTCAAAGTATAACATTTTTAAAAACAGGCCCAGCACCAAACTTTTATTCTATTCAGTATAAAAATAAATCTATAACCTGGATTATTTAAATTAATGAACTTATTTAGAAGCACTTGTTAAGGCTTATCAAGTGGAAGGCCATTGGATTCATGAAGGGATTGGTAGCTCATTGTTTCCCCCTAGTGGGGGAACCAGGTTTTATTTGCAACAAGTACACATAAAAGTTTGCTTTAAAAAGATGTAAAATTGTTATATTACAGCAGAAGATCAGAAAAGTGGTGATTCTGTGATACAGAATGAACTGCAGCTCCAAAGCTGAACTTGACATAGGTAGCATGATAGTTTGGACATAGATATATAAAATAAAGTGTCAGAAAGCATCTAAACAATCTATGGAATATCAAATGCTGCCGTAAGAGGCTTGATAGAAAATAGAGTCACCACTCAGACACTAAATAACCATCTCCTTGCATCCTGATCTTTCTGATGAGCTTGATGAGGAACAGGTGTTCAGTTCAAGCTGCAACTTACTCAGCTTCGCCCTCCAAATGAGGGAAGAGCTGCCAGTGGATAAACCCCCAACACCCAAAGAAACCATGACACCATTACTGGGAATGGCTGGGAAATATTTGAAGGAGCTGTTTTTTTTTCTTCTTCCCATTAAAATTAATCACAAAGCTGTCTTGCTTAAGTTGCCAGGTTAATTGACACTAATTAAAAGCTTCAAGATAATCATACAGTTAATACATAAGATCAAAAGGCATTACAGTTAAATGGAAGAACTTTCAAAAGTTTCAATGACAGATGAGTTTTATAATGTTGATCTTTTCACTTCAAGGAGGTCTTACTTCAACTACAGCCTGGTCTCCCAGCCAAAATCTGTCATGTCTTGACTTCAGGATTTAGGATAACATATGTACACTCACCGGCCACTTTATTAGGTACACCTGTCCAACTGCTCGTTAACACTTAATTTCTAAGCAGCCAATCACATGGCGGCAACTCAGTGCATTTAGGCATGTAGACATGGTCAAGACAATCTCCTGCAGTTCAAACCGAGCATCAGTATGAGGAAGAAAGGTGATTTGAGTGACTTTGAACGTGGCATGATTGTTGGTGCCAGAAGGGCTGGTCTGAGTATTTCAGAAACTGCTGATCTACTGGGATTTTCACTCACAACCATCTCTAGGGTTTACAGAGAATGGTCCGAAAAAGAAAAAACATCCAGTGAGCGGCAGTTCTGTGGGCAGAAATGCCTTGTTGATGCCAGAGGTCAGAGGAGAATGGCCAGACTGGTTGGAGCTGATAGAAGGGCAACAGTGACTCAAATAACCACCCGTTACAACCAAGGTGGGCAGAAGAGCATCTCTGAACGCACAGTACGTCGAACTTTGAGGCAGATGGGCTACAGCAGCAGAAGACCACACCGGGTGCCACTCCTTTCAGCTAAGAACAGGAAACTGAGGCTACAATTTGCACAAGCTCATGGAAATTGGACAATAGAAGATTGGAAAAACGTTGCCTGGTCTGATGAGTCTTGATTTCTGCTGTGACATTCGGATGGTAGGGTCAGAATTTGGCGTCTACAACATGAAAGCATGGATCCATCCTGCCTTGTATCAACGGTTCAGGCTGGTGGTGGTGGTGTCATGGTGTGGGGAATATTTTCTTGGCACTCTTTGGGCCCCTTGGTACCAATTGAGCATCGTTGCAACGCCACAGCCTACCTGAGTATTGTTGCTGACCATGTCCATCCCTTTATAACCACAATGTACCCAACTTCTGATGGCTACTTTCAGCAGGATAATGCGCCATGTCATAAAGCTGGAATCATCTCAGACTGGTTTCTTGAACATGACAATGAGTTCACTGTACTCAATGGCCTCCACAGTCACCAGATCTCAATCCAATAGAGCATCTTTGGGATGTGGTGGAACGGGAGATTCGCATCATGGATGTGCAGCCGACAAATCTGCGGCAACTGTGTGATGCCATCATGTCAATATGGACCAAACTCCCTGAGGAATGCTTCCAGCACCTTGTTGAATCTATGCCACCAAGAATTGAGGCAGTTCTGAAGGCAAAAGGGGGTCCAACCCGTTACTAGCATGGGGTACCTAATAAAGTGGCCGGTGAGTGTACATGTTATAAAATACTGGGATTACATCTTTAAGTTGATGCAACTAAGATAATTTCAGAAAGCTTTCTGAACAATAAGTGGGATCTGTGAGAAAGGAACATCTTTAATTCACCTTAAAAAGGACTTCTGTGATCAAACCAGTTGCTTCTTTGTGCTTCAGGATGTTCTTGTTTATTAATCTGGTAAATATGTACACTTAGGAATCTGATTTTTTATTTTTATTAATTTCCCTGCTCAAGCAGGCTTTTGAAAATGCATCTATTATGCCATTCTTTTACCTGTCAGATCACGCTCTTTTGATTCAGATTACATCAAAAAATGCACTGTTTTGTCAGTTAATAAATAATAAAACACTCATTCAATATCTGATACTTTAATGCTAGTTAAGAACCCTAAAAGCTGCATAATTTTGTTTAAGTGTGGATTCACTTAAATTTTTTTAATTATTATTATAATTAATATTAATAATTATTGGTATTGTGCAAAAACGTGATGAAGTAAACTGGTCCTATGCAAGGACATATTTCAAATTGTCTCTCTACAAATCTTTCTTCTGGGGTGTTTTTATTTTTTATTTTTTTAAATAGCAAAATCAATGCATACAAAGGCTGAATAATAAGGCTTTTTTTTCTGTGTTCAAGTCACTTATGATTTCCAAGAACTAAATCACAGATTATTGACCTTGAGGTCATCTGTTTTACCCGCCTGAGCTGTAAAGATACTCAGGTTCCGTAAGAGATTAAATAACAAAAGCCAGACAAAAGTAAGGTGTTCTTTTCTGGTGCAAGAACATTGGAAAACCGGATTCAAGCTCTTATTACCTTTTAATGTAAAACGTTTTCTCTTATGGGCACAAATTCTGGTCATTTGGTAGAAAACCAATACATTTAGCTTACATATTTTAAACATTAATTTTCAAAGCAAGTTCCATGTGTATTTGTTAGTTTAATGTTTTGTTTCTTTAATAAATTCACCATTCTTTTTGTGACCTGTTAGTGCTAGTTAGTGTTCATTCAATTTTTTGCTTGAATAGTATTGTAGTATTATATCTCTAATTCCCCCCCTTAAATTACATAAGAAATTTTATATTTCCCAACATATATATATTTTAGTTATCAATCTTAATTTGATTGATTCTTACTACAAATCATCAGACAGCAAATCTACATCCCCAAATGACAATAAAAACAACAAAAAACACTCTTGAGAAGTCAAAGTGATGCTTTATTCATGAATCTAGGACCAAATATATATATTTATAAAATTGTATAAATACTCTATATAGTCTACATCCTTCTGTAATCTCAGTAACAATAAAAAATAGTATTTTTTAAGGCCAATGATTATATTTAACAGGCTGTACAAAAATAAATAACGTTTGTATATTCTATACAAAAAGAAAAAAAAAAACATGAAACACAAAGCCTTCGCAGAAGGCAAGAGAGACTTCCTTATGAAGTAGTAGCAGGAGACAAGTCCCTCTTGAAGTCTCCAAACACACCCATAAACACTTAAACACACACACACTCGCACTCACATGTATACGCTCTCTCCTCTTTGGTCTTTTGAGCTCCCTCATTAGAGGTTGTGTACATGAAGGCAATATATGGCTAAAAGACACAGTCTTGAGGCATTTTGGAAAAACTGGGAAACATGATGTGCCAAAAACAAAAAAAAGAAAAAAAAAAGAGATAAAGTCGAAGTGCTTCAGGTTTCTGATAAATAAATGCTGACTTAGGTTTGAACATAAACACTATGAGCTATCTTGTTTTCCATACCTGATGGGGTGAGCAAGTAGATGAGCTATTCTTCTTTATATACACAATATACTGTAGCACCCTACGCCACTCCCAACACTGAATCCTATTGATATGTCCAGCCCAGCTAGGACAATTATATATATATATATATAAAGTACGTTGCAAAACAAATATGCTAACAAAACTAGCATGATGTTTGCATGGCAAGCAGCATGGTCTTTCCTGCTAAATTAAACTAAGATGTGCCACTGCTGACAGGATAGGAGTAAAGATGTGGTCAGTCTTTGCCGCTTCCACGTTTGTTAAACAGTCGCCTCTCGGATGAAGGGATGAAGGGAACGGGTAAATATCGGTAGATACAATCACAACAGTTGTGGTCTTATGTGTAGCCCTGGTTGTAAACATTCACCGATCCTCTTTACATTGTCAGTGGGAAATGTGTATTTTTGCTTTGTAGCAGAAATCTGGGATGAAAGATGTTAAAATTAAAGATGCAGTCATTAGCAGGCTTTCTGATGGCACATTTCCAGCAGGGGCCGTGGACGGTCTTTGGGGTCACAGTTGTCGAGGCTTAACGTACGTCCATCGTGCCCAATGCAGCGCAGCGGACGCTGGCGGAAGCCCCTGCCGCAGGTCTTGGAGCATTCTGACCATTGCCCTGGAAGCCAGGAGGGGCATGACTGGGAGGCACAGGACCTTGACACCAGAGGTCGAAGTTCCTCCGGGCAGTCTCTTGATGTATGTCCTTCCGAGTCCAAACAAACAACCTCTCTTTGTTGCACGCCTCCTCCACAGGTCTGAGAACATGGACCCCACTCCCTCAGGGTCCATTCAGCTCCACCAAACTCCCGGATGGCATTAATTGACTGGTGGCGGCCTGCGTTGTTGCTAGAGGTTGAAGCGGCATCGTTGGGTCTAGGGGCAAAGTAGCTGTACTTAACTCGTGGCCTTGGGGCTTCGCCTACAGACAACACTTGGATTGTGAGGGGTTCTGGGAGTGGGGAAAAGCTTCGGAGACGCTCCAGGGTGGCAGAGGAGCCACTGTATCTTAACAGTGCCCCTTGAAGGGCAATATCTGTCTCCATGGTCATCAATTTATAATCACCATTTAACAGATATGTTCCATCCTGCCGGCGTACAGCCAGGTAGCTGTTATCTTGACGACCATTGCCTGGAGAACGCTGTTTAACATCCAGGTGAGTAGCGCCAGCAGGAATAGTTACAACATCCTGATAACCGGGCCTAAGACCGAAAGAGAAAGGCAAAACTTTGAGATTAGCAAGGCTTTGACAAGTATATAATAATGGTCTAAAAGAAAGCTTTAATAGCTTTAAGACGGTATATATGCTTACCTGGCACGCTCCAGAGAGCCTGACACTTTCTTGCAGGAGGATCCATTCCCACCACAAACACCACACTTATCAAAGCGCCGGTTAGAGCCGATGATACGATCACACCCAGCCTTGACACATTGGCCTTGCACACAAACTGAGGTGGAATCTGGACTGCAGGGTGTTCCATCAGCCACCTGGGGTCAGCATAGCGATACAAAAAGGACAATAAGAAGGTTGCCTTTGATAAAACTTTTTTGGGGATAAAATATTTTGGAACCAAGACTGTTCAAATGATAATATAAGAAACATGTATTTATATTTTACCTTCGGCTTGAGGACAAAAAAGTATCCAGTCCCCTTAGCACGACACACCAGTTTGCAGCGGTCTTTCGGTGAAACTCCAGCATACTTGGGCACCCACTCAACACCCCCGCCCGAACCCAGTGACACTTGAGCCGACATATCATTGTGGACCAAACACTGTTCCTCACGAAAAGACAGGCCTGAGAACAGAAGCACAGAGATTTAATTCACTGCTTCCCTTACGACTAAGCAACTCCAGTCCCTTCAGTGGCTGTCCAAAATGCTTACCGTTGGTGTCAGGACAAACTTCAGTGTTGCAGGAGCGGTACTGGATCCTCTTGCCTTCACAGTACTTGCCTCCATTCTTTGGTAAGGGATTGTCACAGGATCGGAAGGAATACTGCACTCCACCTCCACAGGTTCGAGAACAATCACCCCAGGGCCCCCACATGCCCCAGCCACCATTAACCGGAGTCTAGAGGGAATACCATAAAAATGTTAAGAGGAGGCCAGACCCAGAGGTCATATTTAACAAAAGGAAAGTAGAGAAGAACAATGCATGCTCCTTTTACCTGATGTTCAGCAGCCAGAGTCTTATTGAGGCATCGCCCGGCAAGGCAGTAACCCTCTTGTCCACAAGGAGTACCATCAGCCCATGGGAAGTTCTTTGTCTGGCACACCACCCAACCATTAGATGTGGTCACTGTGCACCACAGAGCTGTGCACATAGTGCTCAGATCTGGACAGTGCTGGGAGTCCTCCCCAAAAGTCAGGCGACACTGATGATCAGCACTGTAAACCTTTCCTGGCAGAGGTTGAGGGAGTGACTGAGGCTTGACTGGCTTATCTAACAAGCACTGCCCGTGCCCGTTGTCTAGAAAGCTGGTGATCATGAGGGCAGAGCAGGGAGACCATGGTTGCAGCTGGTCCAGATTAGACAGGGTGGAAGCCATCATGTGAGAGCTCCAGTGGGCACCGTTTACCCCTGAACAAAGCTGGGCATCATCATGAGGCATATTGAAGACATGGCCTAAAGGAAATACATCAAATGGTCCATTAACATCAAGCATGAGTGTGCATGGCATAACATAATGTTTAAGCAATTCTTTAAACACTCAATTTTACCTAGTTCATGTGCCACAGTAAATGCAGCCTGCAGCCCATCATCCTCAATGATGGAGCAGCTTCTCTCAGGGTCGCACACTGTACCAACATCTGCCATCCCTAAAGTGTCACAAGAATGGGCACCACAGAGGTCCTAAAGAGGGAGACATGAGCACTTTAATGCCATTGATGTGACTACACAGTTTCTTTTCAACTGCAACTATCTCCGGTGGTACTTACAGTTCTGGTGAAGAGCACTGCCGTGTCATAGTGCTCCGGATGGCGGTCACTTGGAGGGTTGTGCTGCCGCTGCCACTGACAGAAGTTGCGGAGGGTCATGGCAGCATTGGTTGATACCTGAGGGCCTCGCTCCTCCTCGTATACCACTAGCAGCTTTACCACAGCCAGGCTGATTGAGTTGTGGATGCTGGGGTGACGGTAGAGACGGGATGCCACGGCCATGATGGTAAGAAGATAAGGTTTGAGCCCTGCACCATGGAACTCGGCCATGGACTGGTCCGCCACCAGCATGATCTCCAAATAGCGTGGTGTGGAAACAAACCTCCTGGTCCTAGTATGGGCTGATGGGAGGCAGGGGAGAGGTCAGACTACATGGTTCACAAGTCGAATTGTGAAAATAATGTCTCAATGAATCTTTTTTTATACACTGTAACTTTGAGAACAAACTTGTTTGCCATACATCTAAGAATGTTACACCTAATTGTTTTCTAAAGCTCAGTCAGGCTTCTGTGAGTCAAACCTCACACCACCTATGGCTCCTCCCTCTCAGCAGTCTGAAAATCGACCTTTCAGTGTTGAAAAATTATGCTAGTGAGAAAGGGTAGAAAATCCTTTTCATGAAAATAAACTCAGACGGTGCGAGTTGTACCAGGGGGCAAATTCACACATCTCAGCATTGTTGGCCCTGCTGCCCCCAACCTCTGCCTCTCCTCCCACTTTCTGCTCCTCCACCCTCCTTATCCCCTCTCTGTGCTGCTCCAAGTTAACCAATCAGACTTTAGGTATGACAGAGAAGTATTTTATGGGATATTGCAAACTTATGAGCTTTAAAGGACTTCTAGGGAGGAAATTGTGTAATTAAATGGTCATAAACCCATAGATTTTATCACATTTTATTTTTAAAGATATATCTCTTTTCATATTAGTTGTCATTTTGGCACTTGCTGTATATTTGGACATTATGATGGGTCTTTACTTAGTAAGATCTTTAAAAAACGACAGTCTTAGTTTTACGCATGAGTGAAATTTTGGATGTTTTACTTTTATTCCTTCTTGCCCTACGAGTTTTACTACAGCAAAGAGCGTAAAATGCGCTCAGTGTTACCTGTCTGGTCTGCGTTAGGCGCTCCATGGCTGGCCTCCTGTTCCAGATTCTTTGGCACCTTTTCCTCGTCCTCGCTGACCCCGCATTTGGAGCTGCCTTCCTGCGCCAATGTTGCGCGGCTTCTCCTGCGGACCATGTGCGCATCCTCCTCCTTTCTCACCGAGCGGAACTGGCTGGAATTTAGGGGTTGGATGAAGTACTCCTCCCCCTGGAAGTAGAATCCTCCAGTGAGTCCGTGGCACAGATTGAGCGCAGCGGCGGAGCGCTCCTCTCCGTTCACAGTGCCGGAGAAGAAACAGCCAGGTTCGGCGGCGCTTTCAGCTTCCCGGACCGGTCCGGACTCCGGGCTGCCCACGACGTGGAACACGAACCCAGGCGCCAGGAAGTTCTGATCGGGCTCCAAGCGCAGAACCAACTGCTTCCCAAAAACGTCCAAACGGAACAGTCTGGTCTGCGCCTCCTTCTCCTCCTCCTCTGCAGAGAGTGTCCGCCATGGCTCGCTTTCACTGTCTGACCGGTCCAACCTGACCGGCACCACAGTGCACTCCTCCCAGGCGCAGCAAACTGCTCCGACGCACAGAAGGACAATTAAACCAATATGTGAAAACCCCATCATGCAGCTGTGAAATCCAACAAGTGGATAGTCAGTAAAATCCTTTTAAAAAATGGCTATAATTCCTCTATGAGATTTCACAAAACAAACAAAAATAAAAGAAATCCAGTGCAATTAAAGTTATAAGCAGGTTTGACTCCTGGAGAACAGCAGTAAAATCCAACAGAGTGATCTCTCTCTTCTTTCACCCCTCCAGATGTTTCTGGTTCTGTTTTTTTCCTCTTTTTTATTTTTGAGTTCGGGACAAGGGTCTTGTCTGTTCTCTTCTCTTGTCCTGCAGTCAGATGAGGAGCCAGTGCCTCCTATTTATGTATGTATCCCAGCTGGGCCGGTTCCACCCCTTTTCCTGAGCGCCCTTTGATTTGGGAAAAGGGGCCAAATCTCGTGCGCAAGGAAAACGCAACATCGACCTGGAGCGCTGCCAGGATAATCAATCACTGTGGAGGACGGGGAATCTTTTTTCTTAACTTATTGCTGCAATTACACACTTTATTTAAACAGATACAGATTAGAAATCCACTTAACCATTGCATTTGTATAAAGGGCTCTATATCAATATAGATTCACATATATAATCACTTATATATAAATATATGCATATATATAGGTCAGCATTTATTCAATATAAATTTATGTTTGGCTGAAAGTGGAAATGAAAGAAGGTTGGTCCGGATAGGTCTCCAAGGACCATATCTCCACTGTGCCAATCCGGCTGCGGTGCGCCCTGACCGGCTTCCAGGAGCTCCGCTCGGCGGGGAGAGGGAGCGCAGAGGGGCCGCTGAGGTCTTAAGGAGGATCGGCTCCTCAGCCGGGATACAGCCTTGCTCCGGGATAGGGAAGGCGAAGCCCCCGTCGCCCTGCTTTCCTCCCCCGCCCGCGCGCAGGGACCCTACCCTCTCCACCTCTACTACAGACAGGAAGACTTTACGCTTTTACTTCAATTAAGCAGCCAGAAACAAACAGAAATGTTCCAGAATATACATTTAACTTAAATGTGGACCTATTTACTTTTTTTAAAATAAAAATTGCAAAGCAAAACTTTTTTTTATTTAGAGAATACTAATGATATAATAACAACAACAAAAAAAATCAACTCGCATACAGACAAACCATTTACAAGATTAAATGAGCAAATTCTGCTTTGAAATGTATGCAAGAACAACCTCACCGCTCAATTCTATTGGAAAATCGCAACAGTCCACCTTAAAAGCCTCAGTTCAGAAAAGTAATAATATTGTAATTCAGTTATTATCCACTAGATGGCAGAAAATCCCTTATAAATGATTTAGGGCTGATGTAAATGCTATAAAAGTTTGACCGACGGGTGGCGCCTTTGCATCGCTTTTAAAACTTTACATGAAAGCCTAGCCACGTGGAGACTAGTTTCATGTCCTCATTTCACTTGTTCTTGTTAATATTTCAGATAACAGACCATACATGTAGAGGCATATGATCAGAATCTAATATGCACCTAACTGTGAAAATTATTCATCATAACATGATATAAAATCCTGCAATTTGATTGTTTTTTTCACTTAAAAGGCAAACAATCGTGGATCAGTTCAAGATGTTCAATGAAGGCTCTAAAAGTTGCAGTGGGGATGGTTAGTTGATGAGGAGCATGATGGAGTTACAAGTTTCCTTTTTAAGCAGAGCATAAGTCTTAAACATAGGGTGACCAGAAATGGGGTTATGAAAAAGAGGACACTTCTTTTTTTTTTCTTGGGGGGGGGGGGGGGGGGGGGGGGGGGGGGGGGGTTGCAGGAGTGCTGGGCCACCGACTGGACCGGAGCAGGCATTCAAACCCCAGCCATCAGCTGAGCTGGTCCCGGTCAAGAGCCGGCCGGGGATGGAAGCGACAAACCTGACCGTATGCTTCCCCCGCACGGTTAGGCAAAAATATACAAAGGTTTGAGATGGAATAAAAATTAGTGTGCCTTATCTGGTTAAAGTATTAGAACAATTTCTCATACATTTGGAGCCAGTGGGTCACATGACCTGGAAGCTATTGAAGAAAAGTCTCAACTTTTGTCTTTAAAATTGCATAAAAGCAAGTGTGCCTTACACATGTTATCTATTGGGATGATTTTATATTAGTTTCAACTTATTTGGTCATTAGATAAGTTTATTGATTTTTGTTTCTCCAGAGTGCTTGGTTCAAAGATTTGTTGACGGTCCCTAACTGCACCACTGCTGAGAGACACTGGCCGACATTGGAGTCCCTGAGTCAAATCAACCGTTTGCTAGATCCCGCTGACTCTGCGGAGCTTGAATATCCAATACCGAACTTCAAACCAACTTCACTGCGGTGCTGATGGCTCAGTCGACCAAAATCCGGACGATTTTGAAATTCCCCCCGGACATTTTTTCAGGTATGGAAAGTAGGACATGCCTGGGAAAAAGATGACCTCTGGTCACCCTATTAAACATAGAGTCAGAAGTACAATGATATTTCGATTAAAGCAAATGAGTAGAGTAGGATGGCCTTCATAAAGTCTAAAATTAAATACAATTGGTAATCTATGGCCAACACTAAATATGCATCAGTTATTTGCCCATTTATGCACTGATGGTGCTAAGCTATACTGTATCCACACCTGCCCCAAAGGCTTCCATTCTATTGGCACAGGTGTCTTGCCCTTGGCCAAAAAAAACCCTCACGGGTTACAGGGCGAACCCTTACGTCCTGATCTCAATCACTCCAACTAGAGGTCACCCTTTTTCTTAAGCAGTGGGTCTCTGTGCAGTAGCAACTGTCTACACAGAGTAAAAGTTAAGCTTCACAGTCCCTTGTAAAGCCCTGGTGTTGCTAAACATCCTGTTGACAAGCTGCTCTTTAATCATCTCCAGTGGTCTGCAGAACAGATAACCTGCAATTAAAGACTGTGGTAGAGTATCCACTTGCACCGCTGTTGATTTTTCAGCCAGCAAAACCAACTTGATGTCAGTATAATTGTTTATCTGGAAGGTTTCCTTTTGTGTAGTTCATATGAGTGAATCCATCACATAAAGATGAAGAGTAATGATGAGGGGTTGAGTGGCTTTAGTCTTGACAGTGTGTTAGTAGGAGAGTCTGGATCAGTCCATTGAATTGATCCAGACACTCTGGGTAATGCTTCACATTACATGCTGCACTGCCAAGGCTTTTTGTGTTGCACTCTGTGTTGATCTTAATACCCACCAAACCTCTCATGTGTTGTTGTACTTTCCTCTCTTTTTTTCACTTCCTTGACATTTCCTGAAAGGCTCCTGTGAATTCTCTCACATCGTCTTTGTTGTAATTTGTAACCCATTGCATGTAGTTAGAGTTACATATGATAGTCATTGCTGTAGCAACACACAGAATCAAACATACCCTGTGATGCACTCAGAAAGGCATTTTGCTCTTCTCTCTGATACCCAAACTCTTCACCAGAGGCCAATAAAGGGATGAGGTGTGACCTACCTTAAATGAGCAGCGGAGAGGAGCTGTAAGCATCCCTCACCGTCGCACACAGCAGGTCTATTGTTCTTCCTTCCATTGAGGAAGAGCAGACTTGTTTAAGCTTGCATGGTTATTCACCCAACATGGTGATAAACACAATCACCTGTTTAGTAACTATGCAATTGGAGGGAAATTGACATTTAGAGTTTTGCTGGTGAAATTCCTGCAAATGGGATCTTTTTTTGACTTTGTGCAAAATAATAAATAAAACTTGTATTTTCCTTATCATATCAAGATATTACTTTTTGCTAGTCTGAAATATGTAGAAGCTAGTTTTTACTAATTAAAAGAGTATGATCTGTTTTGCAAGACAACAAAAAACATCCACATTATCTGTATAACTCTCTCAATGCTGCAAAACAAGATTTTATAACTGTCTGGGGGAAATAGGCTCGGCTCCAAAGGCTTTTTTTGATAAAAAAAAAAACAAAAAACTTTAAAGTTTTATAAATCACATTCCTGTGTTCAGTATTTCACCACAGTGGCTAGTCAGTTAGTGTACTAGCAGGGGTTCAGTTTATCTGTTTGCTCTCTCTGAGATCTGTTCTCACATTGATATTGACGTGTTTTTTTAAGAGCTGTGGTGCAGATCTTAGAGTTCAGGTATGGAGCTCCTCCACTGCGATTGCCATCAAGTCCTGCGGCAGTTCTTCTGCAGCCATTCATGTTTTATTTAATTTATTTTACCACGTTTCTCCTTGAAAATGCAACTGTAAGTGATGGCTTTCATTTGCCACATTTCATTTGTAGCCTCTTTAAACTGAAATATCCAAACCTTGCACTTGTTTTCCGCAACATTCAGAGCCTTAACTACAGTAATTTCTGGTTCCCATCCTTGTATACACCCCCACCATGGACTGTTCTCCCTGCTGCCCTCTGGGAAGAGGGCAACGCAGCATTCGATGCAGATCTAAGAAATTCTGAAAAAGCTACTTCCTGACCGCCATCAGACAGCTGAACTGTTGAGAAAACTCTTAATCATGTCACTGACTCTGCATCACAACGATAAAACCAATCGAAAATTCTGCATATTTGCTCTAAACTTCCATATAAATGCATTTTCGGCATGTTTTTTTGCTGTTTACATTTGATCACTGCTGCACTTAAAGGAATGGAAATGTTATGAAAGCTGTACAAAACCAAATTTCAATAAAATGAATGACAATAAAAGTTTTCTAAGTGAACAACAAACATTCTTACCCGGACATTTTGGAAAATTTGCTTGGCCTTAGCATATTTCTAACATGCAGGGACCCCCCCCCCCCGCAGTCCAGGTAATGCAGCCCCCTGATTAGCTGCATTAGCTGTGCCTTTTCTCCACCTGATGTTTTAATATATTCTCTTTTGAATCATTGCACACATTTGCATATAGTAATCCTAATAAAGCACATTACTACTATTTGAACTGTTGTGCTAATAAGATTATTTGGAAATTGCTTTTTATTTAGGTAATTAATATGGCTATTTTTTTCCCTAATAACAAAATATCTTCATATTCTTTGAATTTTTGTCATTGTGAGACTGATAGTTTCGTAGTACT